CCCGAGGCGGGCGCCATCGTGCGCGTCGGAGGGGTTGCGGGAGAAGCGGTCTCGCTGCTGGATGGATTGCTCATCGGATCGGCTGCTTCGCGTTCTCCTGGTCCCTCGCAACGGCCCGGCTCAGATGCGGCTGGATCCCATCCTTGTCGCCACTGTTATGTAGTGGGTAGCCGCATATATGGACGACAGACAACGACGTAGTGCATAGCACACTATATTAGGCACACAACAAGACATGTGGCAAACGGCCGGCAGGCCAACTATATACACACCTGGGGACGCCCCCGGGTCACCATTGGTGGGTTTGAATCCCCCGCCATGGCTCCCATTGGTTCCCCTGTGGAGGGACTAGAATCCTAGTCCCCATTGTCTTCCAGGACTGAAGCTCAGGTATGTGCGCTGACCTCCGGTGGCGGTCAGTGGACACAACAGAACATGGGTGGTGGGGCCCAAGGGCTGCCAGCTTCTGTCTTAGAAATTCCTGGAGATTTGGAAGTGGAGCCTGGGGAGGGCAGGGTTTGGGAGGGGAGGGCCCATACTGCCATAGAACCCACCCTCTAAACCTGCCATTTACTCCAGGGGAAGTGATCTCTGTTGTCTCGTCTGGAGATTAGTTGTAATTCTAGATCTTTAGATCTCACCTGAAGGTTGGTGACCCTAGAATTCCCTTATTTTCATGATAGTCCCCCAATCTTGGATAGAGGATGGAGGAGTCATAGGCTGGCCCATAGCTATGGTGGGACTATTGGGGGCTCCGCCCCTTTCCTTAAAGGAGCAGCCCGCTTCCTTAAAGGGCCCCTGCTTCTTAAACCTTCTTCCAAAAGCATTTAAAGGGATCCTTTAAATGCTTTTGAGAAGAATGGAGGGGGGGTGGCGGCGCACGCCCACCAAGTTCCTCAATACAGACTTTTGTTTTTCAGTCACTGCAGTCCCTCATGAAACTGAAAGGGTATTTAATGTATTGAGGGTATTTACCACGATCAACAAACTTTGTACATCTTTGGAATATGCAGCTATATATATTTTTGTTTGAAATCCTTGGTTCAGCATTAAAGTTAAATGTTGCAGTTCTTTTAATCTTTTTGTAGTTTAATGTTTCAAGTCTTGAAAAAGGTAATGCTCTAATTCTTTAAGTGACAAAAAATGCTTTTCTTTCATGGATGTTATACCTAATTTTTAAAGCATAAATTTAAATTTGATTTTATTTATATGCAAATCTGTGTATATTTAATGTATTAAAACTCTGTTGGTTAACTAGGTAACATATCTCTAATCAGCTGACTCCCCTAGACAAGTACTTGCGAAATGTTGGGTGCCTGCCACTTTGCAATTACTGCACAGCATAGGAAAGTGGCAAGGTCAGGTACAGAGGAAGTGATCCATCTGTTTGGCAGATCCCTGCTCCCTTCCCATGGATTCACCTCTCCCTAGAGCAGTTTTTTTTTTTTTTTTTAAGGATTGGGCATTTGTTTGGTGTACATGATGCCACGGCGAAATCCCAGTTCAACCTTATGGTAAAGGTTCCATTATTTGAAAGCCAGCCGAATCCGACTCTAGGGTTGCGGTGCTCATCTCCGTTTCCAAGCCAAAGAGCCAGCGCTGTCCGAAGATGTTTCCGTGGTCATGTGGCCGGCATGACTAAACACCAAGGCGCACTGTTACCTTCCCACCGAAGTGGTACCTATTTATCTACTTGCAATTTCTTGCTTTCGAAGTGCTATCTTGGCAGGAGCTGGAACTAGAGATGGGAGCTCACTCCATCATGCGGCACCCAGGTCTCGAACTGCTGAACTACTGACCTTCCACAGCCTGCAGTTCAGCGTCTTAACCACTTGAGCCACCGCAGCTCCAGTTCAACGTTAGTCCCATTCTAATTGAGAACGTCACCTCATTCAATGAGATGGCTCCAGATTCGAACAAAGTTTGAGTCCAGTGGCACCTCAACAAAGTGTAATTCCGGGTATAAGCTTTCGTGTGCACACGAAAGCTTATACCCAGAATTACACTTTGTTGGTTTTAAAGGTGCCTCTGGACTCAAACTTTGTTCTATTGCTTCAGACCAACACGGCTACCCACCTGGCTCTGGACTGGTTAGAAGAAGCCTCAGCATTTTAACTAAACTACAATTCCCATTACCCCTTGGGAGAGTATAGAGACCTGAATCTACGTGTTGAACGCTCCCGTCACTAGTTTAAAAGTGTTATTACGGAACAATAGAAACTAGCCAATGTAAAGGAATAGAATCGATCGATTGCCACCTGCAGGGGGAGTCTACAGAATGAGACCCACAAAAGGGAGGGGGTGGGGAGAGAGAAGCCGACGAACCCTGTTAGTGTCTCCAAGAGCTGTTGCTAATTCAGCGCTTAACTTGTGATCCCGAACCAAGCAACGCCGGATCCTGCTGGGGGTGGAGCCGAGCGTTTACAAATACAACACAGAGACATAAAACCACAAGTGAAAATACCCCCGCGCAAAAGAAACTCGTGACACTTTTGAAAAAAAACCCACCATACACTATTATTAATATTTAACTCACCAGACTGCACAGGAAGCCGTATAAAAAACGCGCTCCTTCTCTTATCATGGCAACAAGAAACTTCAAACCGCATTGGAGTGACAGCAGGAAAGGTCCGTGTCGTGATTTCAAGGAAGAGCAAAAAACGAAAGGCGAGCTCCCCCACTCTAACACGTGAAAGCAGCAGACTAACAGCAGCCCCCTTGGAGCGAGATGGGCTCCTTCTTTAGCACCCTGCTTGGTAAGAAAGTTAGTTTTTTAAAAAAAGGTTTGGTTGGATTTATTATGATTGATGTGTATTCGTGCCTAATGCCTGTAATGGGGGCTTTTCAGAGCAGGTGAGTTCAAAGCCCATCTTCTGGGGAATGTAGCTGAAGAATTTCTATCCCCAAGAGACTCCAAAAACGTGTTATGTTCATTGTACTAAAAAGGCTACCGCAGGGGGCTTGACTGTGTGACAACAGAGTGTTCTCTTCAGCCCTGCTGTCACACAAATGTTTAAATTATGGAGTTCATCACCACAAGATGAAGTGATGGTCAGTGACTTTTGAAAAGGATTTAGACATGTAATGAAGGCCTATTAACAGCTATTAACCATGATTGCTGGAAGAAACCTCCATGTTCAGAGGCAGCATACCTCTAAATAGTAGATAATGGGGGGAAATGGTTCACTAGTCATACCCTGCTTGTGAGCACCCAGAAATATCTGATCGGCTGCAGGAGGAAACAGAATGCTTGAATAGATGGACCATCTAATCCAGCAAGATTTGTCTTACGTTCTTATTATAATTGTGAAGGAGAGAGTGCTAGGGCATTGTGCCATGGAGCCATGTTTTCTGTGATATAAAGCATTGTTAGGGTTTTTGCATCTAACAGTGATCACCATTCATTCATTCTTCTGCTGAAAAATTATCTGTGAGTCGTCTTATAGGCACGACCCCCAGTTCATAAAAATAATTTATCATCACTGTTCCTTGAAATCTAATGTAGTGTAGAGACTGGAAATGCGAACTATAAACCAGAAGATCCCTGACTTGTCTTGCTTCTGTCCTGAGCCCATTTTTAGTGACTGATATACAGAAACAACTCTGGACCCACTTGACAGGGTTGTTGTTGTGAGGATGACTGCACCTAGTTAGAACACTCGAAAATGCTACAGAATTACTATTATTTGTTTTTCCCTCTTATATTTCCCTAACAGGTACATGGCTGAAAAGAGGGTTGGGAAAACATATAAGGAGTCTGGAAAATAGTATATAACAAGTTGGGAATGTGGAAAATCCCATTGAGGAATGGTTCAAAGAAAGAACATCCTCTATGGCCACAATCCCACTCTGCTCAAATTGGAAAGGGGCAGCTTAAAGGATCATTATGAGAAGACTACAGGGTTCCTATCCTGCAACCCATTGACCCCTCCATTTTAGCCACAGGCCATAAGAAGCCTAGTTTCCTTTACAGCAGGGCTCCCAACCTTTTCGAGCCTGCAGCCACCTTTAGAAATCAGACATAAGGTGGTAGCCACAACCACAAAATGGCTGCTGCAGGAGGCAAAGTCAGTGACCAATGGCTACCACAAGAGGGAGAACCAACCATGAAATGTCTGGGAGTGAGGTCATGCACAACTATAATAGTAATTTTTCAATATTTCAGGCAGAAGTTCTGTTTAAGAAAAAACCTTTTAACATATTGTTGAAAAATATTTTCTTGCATATACACAGCTTCTCTGCATGACTGAAGAAGGTAAGCTCCTTGTGCTGTGGCGGCAGCTGCTTGTACTGCAGCCACTTTGAGAGCCAGCACGGTGTAGTGGTTAAGAGCGGTGGACTCTAATCTGGAGAGTGGGTTTGATTCCACATTCCTCTTCCACATGAAGCCTGCTGGGTGACCTTGGGCCAGTTCTCTCAGAGCTCTCAGCCCCACCTACCTCACAAGGTGCCTGTTGTAGGGAGAGGAAAGGAAGGTGACTGTAAGCCACTTTGAGATTTCTTAGGGTAGAGAGCCAACCCTTCTTCTTAAAAAAATCTGCATAGCCAATCAGATCTCCAATGGCCAGTCAGAAATCCTGTTGAACAAAAGCTTCACCTGGCCGGACCCACTTTTTAAAAACGGAGGGGGCCAAAAAAGATGTTAGAGGAGAACCATGGCATCCATAGGCTTAACACTGGGAACCCTGCCTTATGGCAGAGGCCTGCTCCCTTCCCTTCAGCCTGACTTCCAGTAGTATCAAGCTGAATTCTCTTGGTTATTGATAGCAACCCTTGGTGTCTGCATGTTTCGGGTGGGGGTGGGGGCAGGGTGCTATCCCAACCATCTGGTATTTGTCTTTGGGCCTAAGAAAATTCTAACTTTGACCCTATCCTTTCCCCCCCGCCCATAGGCTGGTACTCAGGCTATTTGTAGGAATCCCTCTTTACAAATATTATAGCAATAAAGGTATGAGCAATTGTAACTGCCAGCTCCATAAAACACACCTGGGATGTGGAGCTAGACAAAGGCCGTATTCTTCTTCGATCAGTACATTATATAGCACTTTTAGTGTACATATCTCTTTAGAAAATCAGCATTGTTGTAAAACCCTTATGAGGCAGTTAGGTCGAGAGACAGCCACTTAACGGCAATTAACGGCTTGAGTCAAATCAAGCAGTGAAAGTCATGTGCGTGCAGAGCAGAGGCAAGGAAAGACATCTGCCTCTCAGGCCGCATGGTTGGAGTGCTACTACTAAAAAGGGCAGGTGAAGAGAGCTGACTGAAATGGGGAACAATCCCCTGAGACCACTTCCTGGGTGGGCCTCATTGTGAGAGGCAGAAGCTACACAAGAGGAGAGCGACCCAGTTCATTTTAAGACCGGTTGTTGTGATCAATGTTCCCTCTAAGCTGTGGAGTCTTGTGAGCAAAAATTCTAGTTTGTGAGCTACTGGCAATAAAGTTGTGAGCGAGGGATTTGGCTACTACATAAATTAGTTTGCTCTGGAGCCATCCTTCCTGAGTTAAGACAAAAATGTGTGAGTCGGAGGCTAAAAAACTATGAGCTGGCTCACACTAACTCAGCTTAGAGGGAACACTGGTTGTGATTACTATTTAAACCACATAACAACTACAGTGACTCTATCAACATGGTACCATCACCTTTGCTTTTTAAGCACAGGAATCTGAGCCTTGGCATGCATACCTGGTACATTGGCCCATTGAAATTTATGTAACTGTAATGAGCTCTTCATGGGTTTGACATTAAATACAGGTCTGAAATTTAAGCTGGTGCAGAACACCATAGCCAAACTTCTATCTGGCATTACCTGCCAAGAGAGAAAATATTAAGAAATGTGTTTACAATGAACCATTTCCAAACAGAAACTGAAAATAAATTCACTGTGGGGGGAAAACACCACAATCTTTTGTAGGTTTAATATTGTGAAAGGGAGAGTTATACCAACCAATTCCTCATTCTTGAAAGGTCAGATTAGAAATGAAACCAAAGTTAGTGACAGTGATCCAGGAATGCAACATGTTCTTCAAGTAGCTCACAACACACAGTTTTACAGGTATAGAAAATCAAGAAAGGATACTGGAATGTCTGCTTATGCTGAAAGAAATTGTGTTAGCTCTTAAGGTACCACTGAAATCCTATCCCGTTAAGAAAGAACATTATGATAAATCAGTGCTTAAATGAAGGTGGCAAGCCAGCAAATCTTATCAGTCTTTTAACCTTCTAGGATGGTTGAAACTAAAATGATGTTTGGAGTAATAGTTTATTAGTATTAAGTTTATTAGTATTAAGCCAATTATAAGGGTTACATATGGTATACCAATGGCAAAGAAAGAGAAATCAATTGCCCAATTGTGTCTTTTCCACAAAGTGAACTGCCAAAGGAGCCTCCATGTTATTTGCAATATTATTCCAATAGTCAGAGATCCTTTCCTGATCCTTGGAATCAGACTGTCTTGCCACATAAATTGTGTGCAAATATTAAGAAGAGGAGGAGGCGGAGGAGATTGGATTTATACCCTGCCCTTCACTACCTGAAGAAGTCTCAGAGCAGCATACAATCCCTTCCCCTCCCTTCCCCTCCGCACAGCAGATACCCTGTGAGGTAGGTGGGGGCTGAGAGAGCTCTCTCAAGAACTGCCCTTGAGAGAACAGCTCCGAAAGAACTTATGACGGACCCAAGGTAACACCAGCAGCTGCATGTGGAGGAATGGAGAATCAAACCCGGTTCTCCCAGATTAGTGTCCATGTTCTTAACCACTACACCAAACATGAGCAACCCAAGCTCAACTGCAGTTTGAACAGTGCCTTGGTTTTAGACCATCCTTAGGAAGTACAGATACATGGATCTGAAGTGCTTCAGCACACCCATTACACTTAAAGTATTCAGCTGGAGTTGGGCATGAGCTCTCAAAATGTAAACTGGCATGAGCCCGTAAAGCCTGGATGATCCTGATTTTCTCATATCACACCAGTAGGGCAAATCTTCACACCTTGGAATCTCACATAGCAGAATGCCAGTGTTTTAAAGCTACGTTTTAAATAGAGATAATGGTGAAAATTCAATGGAAAAGAACTAGTCTGTCTGAGACCTAGATCATTTATTGAACAGCTCTTATGGAAATAAGGGTAGCCCTGCACCTAGTTATTTGAACCATTCTTTTAGGGTACCCCCTCTCCACACAATATTCTTCAGGATGAGATGAACTGCACTTGACTGAACAGAAGATGCTGTGGAGAACGGGCAGTTGCTTTACGCAAGACTTTACGCAAGACTAGGCTCTTGTCTATCTACATAACAGAGCACATAGTTTAAAAAGAACAGTGCTCCTGAACTGTTTCACAGGTGTAAGAAGCACAGGATTGAATGCTCTAGTTGTTTTTCCATCCAAGCTCCCTGTCCGTAGAAAACTAGATGTCAAGGAGAAGCCTTATATTTTAGCGGTCTCCCTGACATTATAGCTTTTTATGTGCAGGGACACTCCCTCCCCAAGAGGGTATGCCTAAACATGTGACGACTACCACATGTAGTCTGAAGTGT